CTGTGTATATACGTATTAGTACTACTACTACTATACTTACTACTATATATATATATATATATATATATATATATATATATATATATACACTCTTTAAAAGTAGGTATCTCTTAATTTATAGCCAGCAAACAATGCAACTGTATTAAAACTATAGTTGTGTTGCTAACTGAATATTAATAAAGAAAAGGGGGAATGATCATACATATATTTTCAATACGTTTTGTTAGAGTGTATTGGGGTTTTTGAACTGTCCATTTTCTCGATTAAAAAAATCTCAAAGCCAATTAACCTGGGTAACTGCCAAGAGTTTTCTTCTCCAACCATTTTTACCGCCGCCCCCCCCCTTTCCCCCCTGTCTTTCCCCAGTTGAAACCCTCCCATTTCTGTCTGCTCACTTTCCTAGCGAACTCTCTCCCCCCTCTTTCCCAGCAATCTCTCCCTCCCCCTTCCCCACAAACTCAGCATATCAAAGAGCACAGGATGAGCATAAGAACTAACAAAAGACCACTATTCCTAGTGATGCATAGAGCTTCATGGTGCTGCCAATAGTCACAAAAACACCAGCATCCACCACAACACCGGCCCTAAACCCAATAAGTTGAACCATGGAGCATCTTCCCCATTAATGAACCAAGAATTTGAACTGAACTTAGTTCTTTCCAAGCTGTTGATGAGATAGACCGCATTCATTGATTTACCCTCTTGGAGGTAGATAGATCAAACAGCTAGAAGAAGATAACCTAGAATTTCAGGACAGAGAAAACAGGAGAAATACGTCATAAACCAGAAAAAAGACAATCTATTGTTCGAGGGGATAAATTGATCATAATGCATTGAAGAGATCAAACAAGATTTCAAGAGAGATGATTGTATTTTTAGTTTGCCCTAAAATTAGATGGATCCAAAACCTAAAAATGCTTGATACTTTTGCAAAAGTAAATCTGTAGAAAGGAACATCCAAATTAGGAAGGCCAATGAGAAGGCTATGCAATGGGAAGGATATTCTCTCTCAACAAAACAGCTGAGAGGAAAAAACTCAGAGCAAATATAGAGTGCACAAGTCATCCACCTCCATTGAGCCTTACTGGTGCGGCAACTATAGGGAATTTGGAAGGCCTTGGGAGCTCAAATGGTCCAGAACTTGGATTGGATTGATGGAGTTTGGGTATTTATTGTTGGGTTTGAGCGAAGTTGTAATCTTTGCAACTAAAGAGGTGAGAGGGATGGTGAATGAATGTAATTAAAGGAAGTGACAAATTGGATATGTGTTAGTTTTCATTAGAGAGGAGGAGGGGATAGAGTGCAAGATCAGTGGCTTTGAGGATGCTGAGAGTGCAGGGTTTTTGGGTATTCCACATGCAAAGGTACAAGGAAAGAAAAAAGGGTTAGAAGGCATATATGAAAAGAAAAGGCATAAAAAGATTCAAGAAAAGGAAAGAAAGGGCATAAAAAGGCCAATATGCCACAACACTATGTATTTAAAATACACAGGACCATTCCTCGAAAGAAAATTATCAATTTGGTTGTTGTCTTTGTCCTTAAGGTTGGGATCAAGATCTCTAATAGTGGGAATGGGGATCCTTAATAGTAGGGATCGGGATCCCAAAATTTAGAAATCGAGATCCCTTTCATGTAGCGCGGGAGCGAGATCCCAGAGCGAAATTGCCACATATTTGGAAGATCTTGGTAACGTGGCAAGCTGTTGTAGAAGGGCTAACTCAATCCTCCAATTCAAAGAGGTAGAGAAGATCCTTGAGGAGCCATCCGTTTCACTAGGGTCATCACTAGATATTTCAAAACTCTTTCCTCTGCTCCTATCTAGGTTAGGCCTAAAATTGCCAACTCCCTTTTTGTATCCCTCCATAATTAATGGGCATAGTGGTTAGAGAACCTTTTCTGGCAGACAACATTCTCAGGGTTGTGACAGACCTTGGACAAGACAAGGCCCCAGTTCTGGATGCTACCCTGTTGCCCGGTTCCAAAAATTCTGAGACACTATTGCTCCGCAGAAGCATCATTAGTAGAGGACTCGATGCGCGTATGTTCATAGCTCTGGTCCCAAAGTTGGAAGAAGCCAAGGAACTAAAGGATTTTAGGCTAATGGGCGTGCACAATAGTGCATACAAAATCCTTTCCAGTAGTGCTTGCTTCACTCCTGCAAAAGGTGCATACCCATATCATTTCTTCCCATATCATTTCTTCCACTCATGGAGCTTTAGTTCAAGATCGACAATTTTACATGGTCCGCTGATAGCACACAAGTGCATCCACACTGAGTACCATGCCAAGACCCCGGTTCTTGTCCTTAAACTGGATTGATAACAAGCGTGTGACCATTTTGATTAGGAAATTCCTAATCAAGTTTGCACTTGATGGGCTTCGGTGGCAAATGGAGGACCTGGATCAGGGGTTGCATCTGGAAAAGGCCTATGACCACGTCAACTAGGGCATTCTTGATCAAGTGTTGCACTTGATGGGCTTCATAGCAGATGAAGGGCCTGAATCACTCGCAGTGCTCTTCAACAGATCTCCTGAGGGTTTCTTCCCTGCTTCAAGAGGTCTCCGTCAAGGACACCCCTGGCTTCTTCCTGGTTCGCTGCCATGGCTGAGATCTTCAGCAAATAGAGCTCAAATCTGTTTAAAAAAAAAAAAATAGACCTCAAATCTGTTTGATAATTATCTGCTCCTGGGATTTAAATCATCCCCATGGGGTCCTTATACTCCCATATACAATATGCAGATGGCACGCTGGTTTTCTGTGACACCAACTCCCAAATTATGGACAACCTTTGGCTGTTTTTAAGTTTCTTTGAAGTCTCAATAGGGCTCAAGGTCAATATGATAAAATCATATTGTTCAGGGTCGGACTAGACCCTTGTCCAGTCTTGGGGTTTGCTAAAAGTTTGGGGTATGATGCCTATGTCTTTCCCCACAAGTACTTGGGTCTTCCCTATGCATTGGTAGGCTCTGAAAGCCCCAATGGAACTCCATAGTTGGGTGCTACGAAGGCTGTGTTTTTGCTTCGAAATGCAGATTTATATCTCCAGATGGCAGAATCATTCTAATTAAAGCCACAGTCTCTAATTCCCTGTTTACCAGATGTTCTTCTTTAGAATGTCCACGCTTTTGTCAACCACCTCAAACGACTTATAAGAGGTTTCTTATGCTCCGGTGTTGGTGGCAAACAAAATTCTGCATGGTGAAGTAGGATATTGTTTGTCAAACAAAGAGAAATGGCCATTTGGGCATTAGAAAACTCAGGAATGTAAAACAACACTATTTGTTCCTTGGAAAGTGGTCAATTGGTCATGGTGCTTTACAAACCAGGAAAGCCACTTATAGCAACCAGTCGTCAAATAATGCTCTGGGTTTGACTGTTCCAGTTTTCTTTCATATGGTTTTGTCAGTTGATCTGCCTCTGGAGTTTGGAAAGTGGTCAGTTCATCTCATGAGGAGTTCATCTGTAATATACAGTTTTTCGGCCAAAACAAGGATCAAGATCCATTGGGTGCAGCTCTATAGATTCAGAGATTCTTGAACTTGTTTCCTTGCTGGACCTTTCGGACACAATTCATCTCGAGAATGGGGTGTGATAAGATGGTCTGGACACCTGCCTGCTCTGGTATCTCAATGCCATCTTCTTTTACCTTCTCTTTCTGCTTGTACTGTTTATAAAGTCCTATTCCAAATTCTTGATGCCATCACTGTTGTTATCTTATAATTATGGAAATGAAACCCTTGCGAACTTGTGATTTAAATATTCTTCTGTTCTTGAGCTTGTTGTTCCATGAATCAACAAACATATACATGTTTATTCGCTTCTATCTTTGCATCTAGGACTGGTTACACAAATCGTTAGGAAATCTAGTCTTGACCGGTCATTTTTATAATAATTAAACTGGTAATTCTTGTGGAGATTTGAGCTGCGGCATGTAAGAAACATGTAAGAAACATCTATGCTTGAATGTGTTCATGCATGCATGCATGTTTGATTTTATTTGTGTTTGTGTCTGCATATATGATACAGAGTCAGTTTTTCATCTTTAATTGCCTTTGCGAAGTAGAATTGTATTGAGTATCTTTATTTGGTACATGAATGTCATCATCATCATCATCATCATCATCACTTTAGCTTTTTCCCAATTAATTGGGTCGGCTACATGAATCGTGGCTTTCCATTCTTCTCTATTAGAGGTCATATCCTCTGTGAGGCCATAAGTTCCCATATCTTTTTAGACTGCTTCCAACCACGTCCTTTTGGGCTTACCCCTTGTCCTTTTCAGTCCTTCCACTTGAATTAACTCGCACCTCCTAACAGGTGTTATACTTGGTCGGTGCCACATATGACCGGCCGACCTAAGTCTACTCTCTCTCATTTTATCGCTTATTAGTGCTTTTATCGCCTATTAGTGCCACGCCTAAATTCTCTCGAATAGATTCATTTCGAATTCTATCCCTTCTTGTTCTGTCACTCATTCATCTCAACATCTTCATCTCCTCTACACTAGTTCTATGGGTATATTGTTTTTTGTCCGCCCAACATTCCGCCCCATAGAGCAAAGCTAGTTTCACCGCTATCCTATAGAACTTGTCTTTTAGCCTCATTGCTATGCATCAGTGTTTTAAAATGCGGCCGCATGGCCACATAAGCTGCCGCATCATGCGGTGTGTGGTGGGCACCACATCTGCACATACTGCATATGCGGTTTTTAGTTATTCGCCGCATCTGGCCACACCGTTTTCTGCAAAAAAAAAATTCGATTGTGCCCCTTCAGGAGGGGCAAAATGGTCTTTTTGACCATCAAACATTGGGGGAAACAGTTTGGGAAGGTATTAAACCCCCTAAACGATCATTTACAGCCACTCTCTTGGCTTTTTTGGGATCAAATCGAGCAAAAAAAAAATTTAAGCGGAATCTTTTTCATCCAGATCTTGGATTTGGGGATTGTTTGATACTTGGATATTGATTAGAACCTTTTGATTGTTGATTTGAGAAAGTTTAGGTGAATTTGTGACAAGAAATTAGGGGTTTCAGAGGCCGTGAAGAAATTGAGCACTAAAATTGGGGATAGTGGATACAGAATCTCCGACAACTAATAATTTTGGAGTTAATCTTTAAACCTACGATCACATATATAACCTCCATATTTTTTTTTCTATGTATTAACCTATTTTTTTATATTTTTTAGATTTTTTTTACATTTATTGACCGCATCGACGTGATGCACCCGCATCCGGACCGCGTCGTCGCGATGCACTCGCATCCAGACGGCATCGCCACATCGCTCCCCCCACCGCTTTTGGCTGCACTGGTATGCAACGATCATTTAAAATTCCAGTTGCACATCTCTACTTTACTCACCCAGCTCTAATTATGTGTGCGACATCTTCCTCGATCTCCATTTTTTTGGATTATTGACCCAAAATATTGAAAGTGCAGTCTTTTTTGTACTTTATGACGGTGAATCTTAACTACTTCTTCGTCTCTAGTCTTATTATTACTAAACTTGCACCCCATATACTCTGTCTTAATCCGACTAATTTTAAAACCTTTGGATTCCAGAGCATCCCTCAAAAGTTCTCACTTTGTGTTGATGCTGTTTCGGGTCTTATCAATCAAAACTATGTCATATGCGAACAACATTCACCACGTTACCTCATTCTGTAGGGGCCTAGTTAAGTCGTCCATAACTAAGACAAAGAGGTGCGATCTCAATGCTGACCCTTGATGTAGACCTATGGTCACTGAAAACTCACTCATCTCTCCACTAGTTGTTTGTACACTAGTTAGTGCTCGATTGTACATATCTCTTACTAAGTCGATGTAGTGTCTAGAGACGCATTTCTTTTCTAACACTAACCAAATCAAATCTAGAGGTACTTTATCATAAGCTTCTCTAGATCAATAAAGACCATGCGGAGGTCTTTTCCCTTTGCCCTAAACTTCTCAATCAATTGCCTAATTAGGAAAATAGCCTCGATTGTTGACCTTTTGACATAAAACCAAATTGGTTTTCAGATACACTCGTTTCATGCCTTAGTCGTTGCTCAATGACTCTCTCTCAGAGCTTCATAGTATGACTCATAAGCTTGATTCCTCAGTAGTTTGCACAATTATATGTCTTATTTGTTCTTGTAAATAGGTGCCACAATACTTTTCCTTTGGAATTTTCTTTGTTCTCAACACCTTGTTGAACAACTTCATCAGCCAGTCAATGCCAATTTCCCCCATTCACTTTCAAACCTCTATCGTGATACTATCTGGATCTAAAGTCTTTCCTATCTTCATCATTTTCAAAGCTTTTTTCACTTCGGACATCCTAATTCTACGAATGTATCTATGACCTCCGTTGTCATTTGTACCAACAGTCCCTTCTACCACTATGTCCTGATTGTATTCGTCATTTAATAATTTTTGAAAATACTCTCTATGTTTCGTTGACCTCGTCATCCTTCACCAAGACCCTTTGATTCTCATTCTTATCCCTACGTTTTTTTCACTCTTGTTTTTGCTAATTTGAATATATAATCCTGTCTGTTTTATGCTTACACTGTTGTGCTAGCTTCCCGACCTACTTTACACCTTGAGAGTCACTTGTTACCATTCTCTTGCTATAAGGTTTGGGAATATAGTTGTCTGCTTGGACTTAGACTGTTTCTTTATGGTCATACTGAATGTTTCTTTAGCATCAGACTTGGGAAAGATTGAGCTGTTACAGGTACAGCTACAGTATCTGATTTTCAAACAATATTTACTTCTTCTAGTGCAATGGGTACTGTTTCATTCCTCTCTGGCCAGCCGAAGGAAGGAGTTTTTGTTGAAGCCAAATCTCAGTCAAAAGGCTATTATGAAGTAACATCATCAGACTCCTTGGGGTTTTATCGTCTTAGAGGACTTCTCCCCAACACCACCTATATGATTAAGGTAGTGGCAAAAGAAGATCCCGGGGGCATTAGAATCGAGCGTGCATCTCCAGATGGTGTTGCTATCGAGGTGATCCTGTCTTTTTTCTTAAAGCTGCTGGGTTTTTTACACATCCTTTTTTTGTGATTTTGTCTGGACTTGGTTAGCTGGAAGGTGGTGATTACTTCAAATGTCTTTCATTGTTCATTCGTTAGCAGTTATCTGAACTTTTGTAATTTCGATTTGTCTTCTCATGCTTTCTGTTTTCTTGAGTTTTGAGTGCAATGCGTTTCTGTGATATATTTGCTTGTTGGTCTTCAAGTTGTTTGACTTCTTTGGATAAACTGAAGATGTTAAATAACTCAGCAGCTGAATTTCTATTAGCGACCTTGCAAGAGATTATCTACAGGAATGCCAACACCATACATGCAAATGGCATACATGTTTCTCATACTCTCATATGTTTACCACACTAGCTGGGATATTCTTTTCCAAAGCTAGCAATCCGTACTCTAATTCTCTAAAGCTGACCAAAGAGTACCTATCATTTTGAGAGGGGAATCTAATCCTTTTCTTATATATGTTGAGAATCTTTCTGAGGTGGATTCCCTTTCTGAGGAGGCAACTGGAGAATTTAGATTGGAGGCTCTTCCTTTACCCTGATTTTATGTTTAAACTACATCATCTTTGTTTTCTTTGCCATTCTTAAGGTTTTTGTCCCTTAAACTTGGGGTGACTTTTTATTTCTCTGTATAAAAGTATCCACAATCATGTTATCTGTTTTTAATTTCTATTTGAACTTCCATGCTTTTCAAGAGTCTTCTACTATTTCCATTTTGTGGAAATATAACTTACCTAGTCTTTCTTTCAATTGCCCAAACTGCTGATTCCTTTCCAAAAATAAGCTGGACTAATAATTTCTGAGCACTATTATGTATGTTCTATAAATTGCAAAGTAACTTACAGTTTTTGTCTGTGATCTTCAGTTTCATGTCTGGAACTATTTTGTCCTTCGCTTATATTCTGTCTTATATCTTCCATGCCTCTATTAATATTCCAGTTGTTTAGCTTATTGTCCTTTGTTGTTTACCATGTTCTAAAACAATGCAAATTCGTTAATTAATCATTTTGTGTAATAAATGTTTGGCGTTTGTAGGTTGGATATGAGGATGTCAAGGGTGTGGATTTTATCATCTTTGAACAACCGGAAATGACTATCTTAAGTGGCCATGTAAAAGGAGTCGGCCTTGAGGAGTTACAACCTCATCTTTCTGTGCAAGTGAAGTCAGCCACTGATCCTTCTGTGGTTGTGGCAGTACTCCCCTTGCCGCTTTCCTTCTACTTCCAAATACGTGATTTGCCAAAGGGAAGGCATCTTGTGCAGCTTATCTCTGGACTTTCATCGAGTGCTTATGTGTTCAAATCAGAGATTTTTGAATTTGACTTGGAAAAACATACCCAAATCCATGTTGGCCCACTAACCTATAAACTGGATGAACGTAATTACAAAACAGTAAGTCGCTGCTTGACACTCACGATCAAACTTGGCTCCATTTTCATGGGAATATTTATTGAAAATCGGAGAGATAGAGATAGATAGATAGATAGATAGATAGAGAGAGAGAGAGAGAGAGAGAGAGAGAGAGTTCACATATTCTCTTCTTGAAATAAGTGATTCCAATCAATTTAATTTCCTTTTTTTATTTTTTTCAAGGTTTGGACTATTGCTTATGATTTTTTTGTAAATAGTTTACGGGAATCAGTTTCTTCTTTCTTTGCCCAGGAAGTAACACCAGCTCCTGCATTCCCTCTCATTGTTGGGATGGCTGTAATTGCTCTCTTTATTAGCATGCCAAGGTGCCAATATATTTTATTCTGGTCTTGTCCTTTTAATCAATGTTTGGATTTGACATTAGTTGTTTAATGGCCATCATACTCTGCCACCACTTGCAGATTGAAGGATCTTTACCAGTGGGCAGCAGGAATAGCACCTTCAGGATCTTTAGCTACTGCACCAAAGAAGGAAGTGCGAAAGCCAATTATTAGAAAGAGGACTTACTGAAATATTTGAAATTGTGATTTGGACTTTGAAGTCCGGTTGATCAGCAAGAGGCCTTTGCTGTTGGAGATTGTCCTCTCTCCAGAAAGCGGGGTAGTTTCAGCCTGTTAACCTTTGGAGTTGGAGATTGTTTCTCTCTAAGAAACAGGGTGGCAGTTAATTTGTGTACGAGGAAGAGGAGCGTTTCTGTTCAAATAGAAGCCCTCACTTGAAGTATGTAGGGTTTCTTCGAACTACAAATGGACTGTTCAGATTTTGATCAATGTAATGGGCAGTTGATAATCTGAAAATGCCATGCTGCTTCTTAAAATGTTCTTAGTATCTGTTGTTTGTGATTATGGAACGTGATGGTATGGTTTTCTAATTTCTCATAAGAATTTATGAAAGTGTGAAAGATTTCATGCTAAATCCTTAAAGAGGTGCAGGTATGTATATAACTTGGCTGCATTGTTGAAAAGCTGCCCGATTTAACCGGTAACCACCTGGTTAGATCAGAACTGGCCCCTTGTCGGTTCCAGTTTCGGGCGGTTTTGGTGATCGATTGTCTATAAAATCCCAAAAATAAGGAATTTGATTTGTAATATATTTTTTAACATTTTTTATATTACGGTAAATATTAAAAATTGTTTTGATAATTAATACTCACTTTTAAAATCCATTTTTTCATTAATTTTCAACTACATTTGAATGTGTTTTGTTTTAATCATTCTTTATATGTTTTTCAAACTTAAGTAGATTTTTTTTTGTATTTTTTAATTTTTTTCAACAATTTTTGGCTGCCCGGGATTTGCCCTGTTAGAATGGTTGAATCGGTCGGTTTACCGGTTAGGCCGGATAAACCTCTTTTGGCCCCATGTCCGGTTAATTGTTCCAGTTCGATTTTGTAAACGTTGCTTGTTGTGACTATGAGACAATAAGGGCAGTATAAAGATGCAAAACTACAAGGGAAATATTGCTATACTTCTACAACGTAGAAGATCTATGCTTCTCTTACCATCCAGTCATCCAATTTTGATCAAGAGAGCCACTCTTGGTTTGATCTTAGATCTGACGTCTTAAAGTATATTAGTTTTAGTTTTCTTTATACAAATGGTATGAATATGAAATTTGGTATGTGCCATCTTCTTATTGGGGCGCACTTATAAAAAATATTAAAAATAATTTTTTGATAAAATATATGGACCAAAATACCTCTTGAAAACTTTTATAGGTATTTTGGTCATTTTATTTTATTAGAAATGTTTTTAAAATATTTATAACTAGTGCAAGTTTAATAGAGGATTGGACGTCCAAAATTTGGTGTCAAAGAAGTTTATAGAAAAAAATTAAAAATAAAATAATGTAGAGATGTGGTATTGTGATTGGGGTAATTTTAGCCCTCCATTCAGAATGGACGGTTGGATAAGGGGAGGTATACAAGTTTTATGCTGTAGGGGAAGCATAGAAAGCTTGTCCAAACTGCAAATCCTATATAATTTGGGTGGTTCAAATGTGGAATTTTTTTGATGAAAACTAGGTTCTTCTCAGTTATTACTTTTGTGATGGGCGAAAAAAAAGTGGAATTTTTTTATGTAAACTAGGTTCTCCTCAGTTATTACTTTTGTGATGGGCAAAAAATCGGGTAATGATGAGACGTTTTACTACAGGAGCGTGGACATGTTAAAAGTATGCTCTGGTTTTGGACCCAAGTTTCAACAGGGTGACCTGCTATAGCCGATTGATTGAACCGGTCACCATCCCACACAGCACTTGATTTTGTGTCTGAAAACCGCATGAGCATGCGTTAGGGGACTTGGATCCAACCGGAGTTTTGTAAGGTTGGCAACCGGTAGGATTAGGTCTGGATCGACCTCAAGCCACCTAGGTGTCATTTGGCCCTGGCCTTGGTCTCGGCTGGACCTGAACTTGGGTCTAGAAATTAAACCAAATGAAAAATTTATGAATATATTATTTAGTAAGCATATTTTATATATTTTATACTTGGTTAGGTCGACCAGGACATGGACCTGACCAACCCGATAGGGTTCATTCCAGATCCAGACCTAACCAACCCGATAGGGTTCATTCCAGATCCAGACCTGACCCGCCATGTCAAAAATATAGATGCAGTCTTAGACCCAGACCCTATTCAGATCAAACCAATGGGTCAACCCAACCCGATTCCTACACCTGCATTCTTGTTTTGTGCCTCATAAACTAGTGACCTAGCATTTTTTGCTCGATAGATCTACCGTTTCTGCTCGAGAAAGGCTAGATTGATTGGGATGACACCATTGTGAGACTGCTATTATTCTGAAGTATTTATTGGGATTTCCTTTGGTTATTCTTTAGAACTTGTGCAATAGACAAGAATTTTGCTTCCTTTCTTGCCCTTATAAATCACATTTGCCTTTCAATGAAGGAAAAAGTTTATACAGAGCCGAGACTCTAAACAATCAAATTAGAGCCTACCTCAAAATTTTCACTAGAAGAGGTTGTTTTGATGTCCAAATATCCTCAAATTGATCATCTCGACATCAAATGCATGGACATTAGAAAAAAAGGAATTTTAAGTTTTGGAAATAGTGCATCTTGTAATGTATCTTTGGACCGTCAATTTTCAAGATTTTCAAATTTTCATAAATCTGCTCGATCTACACTATTTTTAAAGCTTTAAATTTTAAAATTAAAAATAAAAATATAGTTTAAGGCTATCACAAAAATTTTCAGTATTGAAATCACATTTCTTGACACTATCTGAAAGTGCATTTTACTTTGATTGTTTAAAGCCTCGGCTCTATACAAACAGCACCCTCAATGAATAAGGTGTTAGGACCGATATGAGATGGCTACAACGAGAAAATTCAGCAAACCAAGACATGAAATGAGATTTATCTAACAAAAACTACTTAAGAACACCATTAATCACGTAGGCTGCATATAATGTTATGCACTTACAATGTCAAAATTAGTATGCAAATAACATCCAAAACAGCTCTTCAAACTACGAAAGTATGCCAAAAACTATACGTCCTCCTTATTTTCCCTTAAATATATTTCATTAACATATGAATGACCCAGGCAATAAGAGGGAACACGTCTCAAACTATTATCCACCAACAATGAGCATGGAAAATAGATGGACAACCACAATAACGATGATCACAATAGAGATGATAAAAATCATCCAATTATTGAGCAGATTCACTGCAATGAAAGAAGCACTTCAATGGTTATTACGTGAGATAAATAGAAAGAAAATAGTGTAGGCATCAGGCTAGGCAACAATTGTTTTCATATTGACCTAGCCAAGCTTGTGATAAGGCACCTCTTAGATTTTAAGAGTGATGGATGCAGTATGGTTGAGGAGAGAGGCTAGAATACCATAGTTTTCTCTTCAAACCCATGCCTCGTGAAGCTTTCATATTCCAACGGATGGTTTTTGAAGAATATTACACTAAAAAAAATGTTCATGTAGATATTATTATCACATTAGGGGTATTTAGATCATCCAAAAAAAAAAAATTCAGAAAATAAAAAGAATGGAGAAAGCATGCATGCATATACAAATGATGATTTATTGTGAAGTTGGGATCTAACGGAAGGGACAATAGCTGGTTTATACAAAAGTGTCTCTATGGAGTTTAGAATAAGAGTTGAGTGACAATAGTGCTGATAATATCCCGGCTAAGTATTTGGACATTCCTCTTACTGGTGGCAGGCTACCCTGTTTAGCTTGGGACTCTATAATCGAATGATTCCAATACAACTTGGGTGTTGGAAGTGTAGGTATTTGTCATGAGGAGGATGGATCACACTCATCAAAAGCTTACTCTTTCTACCATTCATATTTACTATTTCTCTCTTTATAGAGGTCTAACACATCTTATTACAAATTTGGATGCTCTAATGTGAAATTTCTTGTGGAGAAAGTTTGATTAGCATTAAACGAGCGAAAGTTTATTTGCCAAAGAGAGAAGGGGGTTTGGGAATTCGTAAGTTGAAACCAATGAATGAGGCTAGCTTAACTAAATGGCGGTGGAGGTTACGCCAAAACACCTAGCACATATAGCAGTAGGTTATTTTGGGTAAATATGGAGTTGATAGAAAGGGTTTTATAGCAAAGATACTCCCCATTGGTTCTTCAGCTGCGACTATTTGGATGGGAATAAATTCTTAAAAATCCTTATAATTTATTATTCTAATTGATTTTATTGAATAATAAATTATCAGTGACAATGAGTACAAGCCCTAATTTGAAAATATAAGAACATGCTCAAGGCATAGTTGGTTAAGTGAGCAAGGTGCCAAAATGTGACTTCTTGAGTTCTATTCGTACTCATCCCAATGTTTACCTTTTTAAAAAGATAGTAATTCGATTTTGTGGATACAAGCGTGTGCATTTGTTGGATTTGTTTATGGTTCTCATATGGACCATCTTTCTTTCATTCTAGGTGTGTCTTCTAAGGAGATATTGGATGGTAATTTTCATAAATGAAAAAATAAAATAAACAGATGTTACAATGGCTATCTATCTAATGGGATTGTCTATAAAGAAACCACTTACTTTTTGTACAAGGAGGTTATAATTATTCTTGTTCTTTAAATTTCAAAATGGATGATTGTAAGAGTGTCATTGAATAGACACAAAATTCCAAAAAAATATTATCAGACTGCGTAACTCACCCCAAACCATCCAATTTGACATCTAATGAGTGAGAATAGTTGTAACATCCGTTAGTCACTTTATAAACAATCCCCTATCCAATTCTACTAGCCCACCAAAAGTTGGAAACTAACATTGATCCTAAAAGAGGGTAAAGAGGACTTCTTAAAGAGATACAATGGACGAGAAGGGACAAATTCGAATTTTTACCCACCATTTCAAACCAAAGTTTGGTAAAAGGATTAATTGCCGTTTGGAATCTTGTCTGGTTTGATGGAAGCCTTGAACCATGATTTAAGCAACTGGCCAAACTCGGCATTTAATCAGTTGAACTACTTCGATCGTCGATTGTATTGGTTCGATTGGACCATCTAGTTTTGGGAAAGGTGAACCTAATTCCACACTTTTCAAATTTCTTACCAAAATTTTATAGGATTCTATTCTTTCTTTCCAAGTTTTTCATTTTGATTGCATAGGAACTTTTTATTGCCAAACATTTTATTGAAAAATCATAAATTATATCTTGCTTTCTTTTTTGGGAAAAATATTTGTTTTACTTTTTGTTATTACCAAATATCGAGTACTTTCCATTATTACTGATATGTCATTTTTTAAGACTTCATAACAATTTTTTCAAAAAAGATGAACTACCCGTTTTTGTTTTTCAAAAACCGAAGTCAGGCTAATTTTGGTTTTTGAATAACCAAAAATTTTAAATTTTAGAGTTTTCAAGAACCAAATTTTTTTTTCTCTCTTGTGAGTCCTCTAGATGAGTGAAATCCTCAACCTATATTTTATTTTCATGGCCTGTGGAATACTCCAGGATTGTAAAGTTGGATGATCGTTTCTCTGGTTAAAACTAATTAGTAATTACAGAGACTGAAAGATCAAAATCTTGGTCCTAAACGATGATAACGCTCTAGTTGAAGCTCAAAATTTTGATCTTGGCGGTACAAAAGAGTTCTTTATTGATGAAAAATGCAGAGATTACTTCTGGGGTTACCGTGTAATACACAAAATACAGAGATTGTTTCAAGGGTTGGCCTATAAAACCCATTCATTTTGGTTGGGGAGACATTTATTTATGAATTGGGCGAATCCTATGCATATGATATGAGGAAAGTGTGAATAAAGCCCATTTCGAAACTCGGTTGGGGACTTGATTGGGAATCGAGTCGAAGTTTTTGGGCCTACAAACTTAGCCTCTTTTCATGGAGTTCTCAAGGTATGTGTGGTTAGGCAATGAAGAAACCACTCTAAATAAGCGATCCTTGTATCTCTCTCTTCTTACTTTTGTTGCTTCTTTCAAGCTTCTTGTGTTGTTGATTTTATTTTAGGAAAAATTTGGCATAGATAGAAAAATAAATGTGGAAATTATCGCAGGGTTTTTATTTTTCTCAATTTTATACCTTTTTTTTTTTCTCATTCCTGCTTTAAAACTTTAAATTTTATAGGCTATAAGTTATATAAAATTTGCAAACCATGAAAATAAAATATAGGCCAAGGATTTCATTGACCCAATTGATAGTGGGAGAGAGAGAGAGGGGTAGAGAGATAATACGCAGAATACCCACATGAGAGAAAAAAAATTGATTTTTGAAAAATCAAAAATAATTTAAAATTTTCTGTTTTTCGAAAACCGAAATTGGCCTCATTTGAGTTATTGGAAAAACCGAAAATGGCTAATTGCGTCTTTTTAAAAAAAATTGTTATGAAGCCCAAAAAACGGACATATCAGTAATAACATAAAGTATTTGGTATTTTGATAATAACGGAAGCTAAAACGAATATTTATGTAATTTTGCGTTCGTTTTTTTACTGAACTTTTGATAATTTATTACATTTTCTAATTTTCCATATTGAAAATAAACATAAACATACCAATTGACCGCTAGCGAGACCATTGTTGGAAAAATAGGCCATTCTAACTTGTAACCACCCGGTTAGATCGGAACCAACCATTGGTTAGTTTCGATGGCAGGTTTTGGTGACCGGCCGGGAATTTGTTAAAAATTGCTTCAAAAAATTATATAAAATCCCAAATAATAAGGGATTTTGTTTTTAATGTATTTTTAAATGTTTTCCATCATTATTGCAAAAATTGGAAATTATTTTGGGCATTAATATTTATTTTTACATTTTTTTATATTTTAAAAAATTTCAAAAATATCTCTAAGCACAAATCAATTATTTAAAATTCATTTTTTTATTTATTAAGTTTCAATTTCATTTGGATGTAATTTGTTTAATCATTTTTAAATCTATTTTTTATATTTTATTATAATTTTTTTTGTATTTTTTAATACTTTTTTAACTCCATGGGATTTGTCCGGTTAGAAAAGTTGAACCGACCAATTTACCGGTTCAGCCGGTTGAACCACTTCTGGGCCAATGTCCACTTAACCATTCTGATTTGATTTTTCCAATACTGAGAATGACCGATTTTAACTTGACCAACTCTTTACCGGTCCAAGCACCAGTCCGATCCTGACAACAACATGTCAAACTTCAAAGAGATAGGGAAGGAATGGGGAAGGCGAACTTCAAATAGATGGGGGAGGAATGGGAAGGTTAGAGAAGCTGCGTAGGAAACATATCACAAAACTGAAAAACAAAAATAGTATGAAAATGAGAACTAATAGGCGTAGTTAGGTTTTGTAATATGTGGAGCGCGATATAAACTGGCCTAGAGAGACCATGCTAATAGACTATATAGTCCCTAGGGTATATGTTTTTGTTGAAACCCTGGCTCTAGTTCTCTAGAGGTCTAGGGATACTTCAACCAGGATCAACTTAAATCCTTCTAACACAGTCGAATGTCTTGTTCCTTTATGTGTTTAGAGAGGCTAATTCTTTTTTGTCGACTCTCTCGTTAAGAGGGTGCCTCATTTCGTTAAGAGGGTGCCTCATTGCCTTTTCTTTTAATCTCTAATGTTGTAATTCTTCATTGTAACTCTCTCTTTTTAATATAATTTGTTAACATTTGTTTAAAAAAAAAAAAAAACTTCCAACACGGGTTCTCTATGTGCCAAAAATTTTGGATGGTCTATTTAGAACCTAAGAATCCAATTTTCTTTTCTAAGACAGGTATTGTAAAATAGACACCAAAATTTAAGATGGAGAATATACTCTTTTTAAGAGTGGATGCTACTTGAGGCACCAGTGTACATAGAAGATTGTGTCATCACTCAACTAGATAGAGGCTTGGTCCAATCATTGCATGTCAAACTGTTTGGGCCAATTTTTAAAGGGGTTGTCTATAAAGAGACTATTTATCTTTTGTACTTGGAGGTCATAAACATTTTAACTCATTAGATATCAAATTAGGCTTGGGGTTAGTCAAGAAGATTGATAATTTTTGTTTGGAACTTTGTGTCTATTCAATCACACTCTTACAACCACCCGTTTTGAAATTTAAAGAACCATAATAATTGTGATCTCCGTACACAAAAGTTAAAGGAAAAAGTTTTTATAGAGCCGATGATCTAAACAATCAAATTAGAGCCCGCCTAAAAATTTTCATTGAAAGAGGTTGTCTTGATGCCTAAATATCCTCAAATTGATCATCTCGACATTAAGATGATTTCAAGTTTTGAAAATAGTGCTTATTGTCAATTTTCAAGTTTTAAAAGTTTTTATAGATTTGCTCGATCTACATTATTTTTGAAGCTTGAAATTTTATAATTGAATATGAAAATATATTTTAAGGCTATAAAAAAGATTTATGGTATTGAAATTACATTTCTCGACATTATTTGAAGGTGTTTTTTATTTTGATTGTTTAGAGCCTTGACTCTATACAAACTGCACCCAAAGATAAATGGTCCTGTCTCTTTATAGACAATTTATTTTTTAAAGTACATAAGTTTTAAATAAAAATAAAAGAGAAAAATATTCTCCGTGTTGGCCAAAATTTAATTTTGTTTGTATTAAAATAAATTAAGTTCTCCTAGGGCAATGGGCTAGTAGCTTGACCTTGCTTGGTTGTCCTGGCCCTAAATTAAAAGAAAATATTGGGCCAAAGCTAGTCGCAGCCCAGGACAGCTTGGTCTGGCTTTTTTTTTTTGTCTTGTTTTTTAATTTTTTATTTGATTTTACCTAGCCCAGCCCTGTCCCACCCTAATAGGCTACGGTCGAGCCTAGCCTAGCCATATAAAGACAAGGGACAAAGGCTCATTCTGGCATGTTGGTGTGGTTTTTGCTTTAAACGAGGCCCACCAAAATGTTAGACCGTCCACCTAGTTAGATCGGGAGTATATACATTGTACGTGCTCTCAAATTTGAATAATGATCCAATAAGACCCTTCCACACTCATATGTGCAGGATCTTCAAGGATCACCATTAAATTTGCCATAAAATTTAAATAAAATTAAACCTCATGTGCATCTAATAACTTTTATAGAGATTTAAACCAAAGTTAATGGTGGTCATTTGGACTTCTACACCCAAGGGTCTCAAGATCATTACAAACCAAACTTAATGGGGATCATTTTGGACTTCTACACCCAAGGGTCTCAGGATCATTTACTCCCAAAATTTTTAGAGGCAAGAGACAAGGGTCGAATACGGGCTTTGCCAAGAGGGAGAGAGCGGGAAAAAAAATCTCCAAACCTAACAGAGAGAAAGACTGGCAATAATTCTTAGGGATAGGTCTTCTCTCTTTCAAGATGAAATGTTCAGGAGGTTGCCCGGCTAAAATGGGCTCTGGCCTTCCTGCGGGCAAGAAACAGAAAGCAATACTCCATTGCCTGTGATCAAACTTGGAAAACTCTTGCTCTGTCTCTTGTTTGTCTCATCCAATCCGTGAAGTTCAGTAGTTCCTTGGCTTTCTTTTACGTTTTAAGCTTATTAAAGCAACAACGATGGCGTCTCTTGTTTGCTGTCATGCTAATACTGGAAAATTTAGGTTGTTATAGTGCTCAGGTTCGGATTAGAGCTTCCTCATTCTGGAAAATAGTAGAAAGCGATGCTTTTGGAGAACCCGTGGCGTTCCTTGCATGTTATCCTGGTAAAACGAGGAACCCGTTGTTGTACTTGTGCTCCGGTTTCGATTAGGGTTTTTTTCAATTTTCAAAATGGAAGAAACGTGTGATTTTGGAGGACTCATTTCACTATTTCCATGTTATTCTGGTAAAGTGAGAAGCTAACTGTTGTTATAGTGCTCTCATTGTTGTCTAAAAATGGAAGAGACTGATGATTTTGGGGATCTCTATGCTGTCTTTGAAAGTAACGTAAACCCAGAAGCTCATTCAACATCAGAAGCTCATTCAACATCAGTAGTTCCCCTACTTTTTGCAGAGACTGGGAAAACTTGTGTTGAATTTCCTGAAAATTCTGATAAAATAGAGATAAGTGGTACTGGCACTGATGAATTGTTACTATATGGTATTGGGGAAGAGGGGGAATCGGATGAAAAACCCCAACAATGTGACGTGAAAATGGAAGGGGACCATTGTTTGGGTGGTTCTAATAACGCAGTTGCTGAAGAAAACTATGAGGAAGATGAGGAAGATTCAGAGGAGGAGAAAGAAGATGGAGAATGGAACCCAAGCCATGGTAGTGAGAGTGAAGATGATCTTCACATTGTTTTGAATGAGGAAAGTGGGGTTTTCCCCCCTTTTGTTGCTGCAACATCTCAGCATTATGAATTGGGAGAATGGAGCGATGATGAAGATGATGATTTAGTGATAGTGGCCAACCATCCCACTAAGGATCGAACATGGGTTGATGAATCACAACTCCCAAATGATTTCTCAGAGCAATGTGCAGTTGGTTCCACCAGTGAGAAGGGGAATTTGCTAAAGGGGGGCAATGGAAACTCCTCAAATCAGTATTATGGTTCACAATATTCCCAATTCAAGGTAGGGGTCCAGCTGATTTTCTTTTATATGGCTACATTATATTCATTATTGATAGATATGGGTACACTTTTTTTTAGTGTTTATTGGTTACATATGATTTATTTCTCTGTACAAGCCTCATATTTTTTTTATGTAGGTTCATAGTGAATGGAATTTATACAGTGGTGAAATGCTTTCTTATACTGTGGCTTGTTGCTTTTGTAATTGGTCATTCCGTCTCATTGTGTGAATTAACAGTAGTATGTGTTTGGTTTGGTTCCAATGCAAGAGCATTGTTGATGCCTGTTCATTTTATTGTTTTCTATTTGGCTACTGACTATTTCTGCTTTAGTTGTGGTTATTTAAGTATTTCCAAATTGGGAAATGCATTTCATATCATCATCATCATCATCATCATTGTAATCATCCAAGCCTTATCACAAATATTTTGCATCAGCTACATGAATCTTGTTTCTTCATTCTATAGATCATACATTCATGATTCATGATCAGATTGTGGCAAAGTTTTATGCTGGCTGTCTACCTAATGCAACCCATTTCTTTTACCTCGGCTTGGGATGGGTTAAGGGAAAGTTTAAGGTCCTCACCCTTATTAGACTAAAATGAATTTCACACACACGCACACATATACACACATACACACACACACACACACATATATATATATATATATCATCATCATCATCATAGCCTTCTCTATCTCTCTCTCTCTCTCTATATATATATATATATATATATATATATATATATATATATACTACTACTA